TTCTTTAGCGCACGTACAGTCTCTTTACTCCGCTTCAAACCCCGAACTCGTAATTCGCGGATCGCGACTCGTAACTCGTAACTCGTAATTTATAACTCACAACTAGCGATCTATATCAGACCGAAACGATCGCGCTATGTTCTCTTTATCACCACACGTTCGCGGACTTCAAACTTTTTGCCTCCTCTCTCGTGTCGTGTGCTCCGGCGACTGCCCCGTCTTTTTCCCGCGCGCGACCGAAGTGGCGCTAATATCCCGCAACACGCGCTCGCCCCGTGATCGATACTCAATCGATCACGTGCGATCCTACACTATTGAACTAACAAACAAATATTTTTTGCCAGAAAAAAAATATTTATTATGCAAGTAATAATAATTTTTTATTCGGCGTGTCGGCGGGCGGCGTGCAATGTAGTGTCGCTTGTATTTGTCTGAAATAAAAAATCCAAAAAGATTATTAAGAGTTTACGCATTAATTAAATCTCTTTTTAAAGAAAATAATGCGAAATTGTAAAAATCGCGACACTTGGAAAAAAGGTAGCGATTTTGGCAAAAAATTTTTCGTTTATTATGCAATAAAAGTTATTTTATTAAATAATATTATTATAAACTGTAGTTCAAGTTATTAGGAAAGTATTTGTGCAGATGTGTGCAATGAATAGTTTTTGAGTTATCTTGCACGCCGCCAAACACCGCCGAATAAATGTTATTATTACTTGCATAATAAATACTTTTTTCTGGCAAAAAAATTTGTTTGTTAGTTCAATAGTTTAAGAAATTACCCTATAAAGTTCAAAAGGATTGGTAGAATAGTTTCATAAAAAAAAATTCCAAAAAAGTCACCTAATTTTTCAACGTGCTAAACCAAACTCTTCCCTTAATGCCGAACTTGCAGCGCAATCATATCAACTTATTATTAATTATTATTTTGAGTAAACATACAATTTTGCCCTCTCCTGACTGAAATCTTGTGTACGCCAATGAATCTTGTCAACATGTTAAATTAAAACACTCATTGCCATTGTCATCCATATAGTCAAGGTTACGAGTGCCCATGCAATTATAATCCGGCCGATTTCCTGGTGGGGACTCTAGCTATCGCGTCCGGTGACGCGGACGGTAGCGGCAGGGTGGCGCAGAAGATCTGCGACGCGTTTCTCACGAGCGAAGCCTGCAACGAGATCGATGTTACATTGGAACAGGAACTGGATTCCGCTCGCTTGCAGTGCCACGTAAGCAGAGTTGAAAACAGATGTTAAAAGAAATCATGCAAGAATTTGTCTCTTTGTTTCAGATCGAGGAAAATATTTGCGAGTCGCGCACTTTGTAAGTACCTTATTCTGTACGCTAAAGAAATTGTCTAAAGAACATATCGAAAGCATCTAATAAGCGAAACAGTCAGAATTTTCCCTCAGTGATTTTGAGCAT